GTAGTAGACAGCTACCCGACCGCGCGTATACGGGGTCTATGGGGAAGTTTTGCCCGAACCTACTGGCTCGATTTTGATCCCGCATTAAAAACGGCCTTGTGTCACATCCTGCCACGTGGGGTGGGGGTGAGGGATAAGTTAAATATCCTTGCTTCGGGAATTACTAGCCTGCCACCCGATTCCCTGTCTTTCAGTAGTGTATTCTCTTTTACAATAAACCTCTTTTCATTCATCTACGCGCGTGTTGCTGTTCCTTCATTCGAGTGCCACCTTTGATGTGTTTGTAACAGCTTTAAGGATAAAACACGTCTATTGAGAACACTCATATGGACACATTTCAAACATCATCAAGATCACAAGAAAATGAGAGCCACAGTCTATTTAATCCCCTAGACTATTCCCAGCGCAATTACAGACACAAATGTTAAGATATACACACACGTCATTTAAGCATTCCATAATATAGCCCAAACGAATCTACTAATAGATGACAACGATCCTGATTTCTTTCCCTAAACTGATGTACTGATGATGAGGAGACACATTCTAGTGACATTAGAATTCATAATTGGGATAAGAACGGTCTTGAACAGAAAATCAACATTCTTTACTCAGTGTTCTGGGCTAGAGTTTTGCAACCCAGTGTGCCTGCACGCATAGGAAGTGCGAAATTGAATATCATGAAGTGCGAAAGACTGGCTTGTGTCCCTGAATAACGAGTATCCACTCAGCCTGCTGCCAGTGTGCGTTGAAAGTGTTAGGGACAGTTCGTCGCACACTGTAAATTCGTCATTGCAAGCTTGATTAAAACTATAATACTCAATGGATTTATTTATGACGATAGTGTATCTTTGTAACCAATTGATTTCTTGTATTCAATTCTCTTTTGCCAATCAAGATAAAATCTAGAAATCGCCTGAATTCAAAGACAGGCTTCTGGATCGTAGTCACCAAACATGTTCTTCGTTTTCACAAAATATCGTTAATATTAATAGTAACTGCTTTCTTATAAGAAAACATTCGATATTCATTGACCTAGCAGCCAGTAATGCTGTCGGTTAAAAATTATTAAATTTAAGAAAAATATGTTTCTCTATTCCAGTAGCTATTATCGCTCTTTCTGGTACTTATTAACATGACTTAAACCTTTTCAAAACAGAAACAATGATCTGGATTTGAAATGAAAACAAAGATGGCACCTACCCTGAATCCATCATAAACCCTAAGGATGTGAAATTAATAGATACTAAACACTTCAAATACCTGTGTGTGTGTGTGAATCCGTTATAACAAACTTGGTATAGGAGAAAAGGAAATTAACACTTTCACTGCTACTCATTTGCCCAGTGATGACCACCCCCGCCATCCGGCCAGCCATTTTTTAAGAAAATGCCAAATTTCAACCTACGTATTTTATTACACAGAAAACTGGCACCAGTGTGTTTTACAGCATTCCATTTTCATGGATATACCTGGGAATGACTTATCAGATCAGTAATGGGTATACACACGATATCTTTTGAAGCATTGTCCTTTGTGGAGTGGGACTTCACACTTTTTGCAGAAGTACCTTGTTTCTGAGCGTTTTCCAGCTTTTTTGCCGACTCTGCATGGCTTGGAAGGGTACCATTTCTTATTGGTTGGTGGAATTTCTACCAAGTCATGAACTTTCATTCCACCAACCAGGCGATTGGCAGGATCAATTTTAGGTGCCCTTCGACATACGGTCACGGGCGCTGGGAACATCCGCATGCTAGCCGCATTTTCGTCAGGAATATTTTCAAATTAGATACGAAACTACCATGACGTAGAGAAAAATCGAGGCTGACTAATAATTTGCATGATAGAACAGTTAGAATTTCCCGTATTTTACGATTGATGGCGCAACGGGACACTCATATGCAAAAACGTAGGTTTCCATACTTAGCCAACTGGAGCAAGATAAGAAAAACGAAGATCTCCGTAGTTAGCAGCGGAAGTGTTAAACAAAAAATAAGCTGCGACCGGTATAATCACCGAACGCTACAAATGGCTACAAAACCAAAACACTAACCTAAAAACTCGTTATGTTCTTAAATAGTTTTATCAGATCAAGACTTTCATATAGATGCCATGCATGGTGCCAAACCCGTTCAGAAATATTTAAATTGTCAGCTGTATACAACCACTTTTTTAAAATCAATGGTTAAAAATAGTTAAGTGAAGTCGATGGGTCTTGTCAAAGATATTTTAATGACATGCTCTGTTCATCCATTGTTCACTGCAATTGGGATGACATCCAATGTCGGCTGTGTCTGCATATACACTCGACTTGATATGTTCACAGATTTGTCTCCTTAGCCATGATCGTATTCAACAAAAATTAACGACAAATGCTATTCAAGACTCTCTGCCTGGAAAATAGCAACAATACGAATTCTCACTTAGCCGTCTATGTTTTCTTTCAGCAGAACTGCTATCTCCCTGACTTCTGATCACAGGAAGAGGACCCTAATATTCACTGTCTAGATGACTTACGTCTCAATGACTGCTAGTCCCTTCGTCACTGGCCACTGGTCGCTTACTCCTTTATTGCTGGACACCTACTTATTTCCACACTTCCTGCCACTCTCTGCTTATATAGATACTGGCTGGGGATCTGAACACCCCTATCCATCCCTTTGTGTTCTGGAAATTGAACATAGACTGTGTTAGATGTAGTTTAGCCTAACATTGCAAATTGCTACAAAACCTAAACATTAACCTGAAAACAAGTTCTTAAATAGCCTCATTATATCGAGATTTTCATATGGATGTCATTCATGGTGCCAAACCCGTTCAGAAATATTTAAACTGTCAGCTGTATACAACCGCTTTTAAGATCAATGTCTAAAAAATGGCTTTGAGCGAGTGAAGCCTGTGGCTTTGGGCGAAGACCACAATTATTCGAACCTTGTAGACTGGCGCTACAGAATGGCAAGCAAAGAACTATACAAAATAGCGACAACTACATCATATGAGGACTTTCAACAGCAGTAACAACTGAAATGGATAGCACATGGAACTAGAAGAGAGAATCATGACAAAATCAAAATGTTGACCATCCACAGTACTTCATATGAAAGGTTAAAAAGAAAACCCCAATCAGTACTGGAAAGAACTATAATAGCTATTGGAATGGAGAAACATATTTTCCTAAATTTTATAAATTTTAACCGGTAGAAGTACTGGCTGCTAGGTCAATGAATATCGAATATTTTCTTATAAGAAAGCAGTTACTATTAATATTAAAGATACACTATCGTCATAAATAACAAAGATACACTATCGTCATAAATAAATCTATTGAGTATTATAGTTTTAATCAAGCTTGCAATGACGAATTTACGGTGTGCGACGAACTGTCCCTAACACTTTCAACGCACACTGGCAGCAGGCTGAGTGGATACTCGTTATTCAGGTACACAAGCCAGTCTTTCGCACTTCATGATATTCAATTTCGCACTTCCTATGCATGCAGTCACCCCGGGTTACAAAACTCTAGCCCAGATCTTTCGCTGAGGTATTGAGAACGATCCTGGATGAATTTACTAGTGTGAATATATAAAATTTATATTACTTATAGCATGGGTTATATCATGGGTAAATTCGGCAGTTGCGAGCAGGCTCACAAGCACTAATACATTTTTGAGTAATAAATACAAGTACCGACTGAAATAGACATGCTGGTGGGAATTTTTAAACTTATCAAATAAGCGTACTTTTGCACTTCGACGTGGTGTAATTGTTAACAAGCTTGTCTTGCTAGATCAAATATGATTGAATAGTGAGTTCGATCGCCCTATTAGTCTGTTACTTATTTTTGGCGAGCTACTAGAAACTCTAATGAATGCCGAATTGGTGAAGCGTCTGACTTCACACTGCCTCCTTTCGAATAAACAATATAGCTTCCGTTTCTCCAGGTCTACTGTCGATGAGTTAACGACAATCACTGAATTTGTCTATCAAGCTTTAGATAAGAAAGGCGAAGCTCGGGTTGTGGCTCTAGATATTATTAAAGGCGTTCGACATTGTTTGGCATGCTGGCCTTCTCCACAGGCTCAAGGACTATGGTTTGGCTGGACTAATATCTAGCTTAAACCAATCGTTCCCAACAAATTGTATAATCAAGGTAGAGTTGAATGGACACGTTTGTAGTCCCCTACTTTGAGCCCCATACTTAGTAAATCACTATAAAATAAGGGTACCGGCCCAAATTTTTATGTGTTTAATAAACGCAAAGCAAAATAATCGTGCCGCGGAGAAAATGATTAAAAATAAATATATGAATAAATAAATAACCAGGCATACCAAATAAGGTCAGTACCAGTGTATGTGGGGGTGGGGGTCAGTTGAGTAATTGAATTAAATAATTGTGATTAAAAGAATTTGGAAAGAGAAAGAACTGTGATTAAAAGAGTTCACCTAGTCTCGATAGACCAAATACTAATATTGAGATTTAGGTCCTCACTAAGTGCGTCAGAAATATGGCCTTACTACAATCAGAGTTTTGCTTCGTTAAGTACTCTCTCTATCTCTCTCACGCACACACATGCACGCGTGAGCGCTTCCATGCATGCAAACATGTATGTACTAAAATGTATGTTCACATTTTTCGTGTATGTAAAAAAGAAATTGTATTTTTTTATGTCTCATTGATTCTTTCAACCTTTTAGGCGTTCACACAAACACACATACACACACACACACACACACACACACAAGAACAAACAATATCAACGAAACACAAAATAATATTTCCCCCTCTCCCCATACCCCAATCTCTTTTGTTTCTTCCTTAAATGTTCCACTCCCCCCCATCCTGCCCTGTAACTTTCTTTCCATCGAAACAAGTCTTATTAATGCAGACTGTCTCGTCTGGAAGCTAGTGACAACGTAAACTCGCGTTATTTGGTTCGTAACTCTCGCGATACCGCGTATAACCGGCTGCCAGCGTGTGTTGGCAGCTCCATCTAACGAGGATGCAATTCAGTTTGCGGAGAAGCCCCGTCCGTCGTCTTTCCCCGGGCTATCTGATGCCGAACCCACTTCCGGAAATGTTTTCTTTCCTCTTACGTGATTAGTATAAATGACTTTGTCATTTCCTCTATATAAAAGCACCAATTACTGCTGAAAAAGAGGTTTCATTCATATTAAGGCAACATACGTGTGGGTCTTCCCCTTCATGACTAGGTGATAACCATTATCTAAACAGTCACTATGCAGTGATGTATCTATTTTTCCATCTGAAAAGAGTGACTGACCCCTATTAATAACCCGGCGACTATCGATTCGGCGTGATCTCGTCAAACATTGTCCGCGTGTTCGCGTGAACTTGCGAGGCTTCAGTTTATTTGTCAGTAGAGAGGTATTATGTCAGTTGAAATTCTAGCAAGGAACCTTGCACCTCCCCGTCCATCTATATGTCTATCTTTTGTTCACACCCTTCATCCACCCCCAACAGAGTAACTCCTCTATTCCTCTTTTCTCTGTCATGCTGCCTGTCAGTCTGTCCTGTTTGCTCCATTTGTTTCCTCGAATTGTCGTTATAGGGAACATTTTCTCTCTCTTTGACTCTCTCCGTGGAATAAAAGCCCCCTTCTCATCCACCCTAAAAATACACCCCCTGCAAACAATACCGCTTTTTATTTTCGCACGTATCATTACAAATCTTACTCGACACTTCTTTTCACTTAAGACCCTTTGTGCCGAGCGCACATACCTATTTACGTCTGCCCGCCATGATATTATTAAACGAGCGTACATATTCTCAATACCAGTTGTCATTCATAAAAGCACGCATGCGCTCTCGAACTCTTTTAGTGATACTGAAGCCTTGGAGTTATCTGTGAAAAGCATTTTTTTCCCTAAGCTTTTTTTTTTATTTTCTTGTTTGGCCAAATAATTTATTGCTCATTTTACAATGAAAGAAATATTTAAGCACAAAAGTTTGCCACAGTTAAATGTTTGCCAGCGTCGTCTTTATGATAATTTAAATACTCGAAAACACCTTTCTTTTTTTCTTCTTTATTGTAAGGCTGTATTTTGTTTTTCGAAACCATATGAAAACGCCGTAATCTAAAGCTTGCGTGACTTCTAGGTTCGATAATTAAAAACAAAAAAAGAAGTCATCTTAAATTGTCGATATGATAATATCTTCTATCAGATGACAATTAAGACAAGACTCAGTAAAAAAAGAGACTCTTCAAGAAATATATTTAATCCCTTATCTTAGCTCGCTTTGGGCTACCTCGACGTGGTGTAATGTTAGCAAGCTTATCTCGTTAAGACAGTTATACCTGAGTAGTGTGTTCGATACTCACTGACTACTCCATTGTTTAGGCCTTGTACCACATCTAAGCTGCACTTAAAACAATCGCCATTTTGGCTCGTTGATTTTGATTAGTGGTATATCAACCTCTATAATGCCAAAATCTAAATATCTTGTACGTAATTTATGCTTTCAACTACAGATATTTTATACATAATTTTACATTTTTCTTTTTTTTATTATATATACAGTGTAACCCGGATATAAGAGAGTTGTCGGGACCGGAAAAGAAGTCTCTTATATACGGGTTTCTCTTATATCCGGGTTTGGTCTATATGTATACATTAACACAGGCTCTAATTTGGGACCAAAGAAAATCACTCATATCCGGGTTTCTCTTATATCCGGGTCTCTTATATCCGGGTTACACTATATATATATATATATATATATATATATATATATATGAAGAAAAATATACGGAAAATCAAACAAAAATCCTTATATACAATTATGCTGTTTTAATGTTAATATGTCAACGTCGGACGTTTCGGTCTAATAAACCATCTTCAGGACATATTCATAAAATATGATTAACATTATCAATTCAACATGACAATGTTAATTATAATTTATGAATATGTCCTGAAGATGGTTTATTAGACCGAAACGTCCGACGTTGACATATTAACATTAAAACAGCATAATTGTATATAAGGATTTTGTTTGTTTTTTTCCGTATATTTTTCTTCATAGTGTCGGATCTATATCCATATATTTATATATATATATATATATATATATATATATATATATATATATATATATATATATATATATATATATATATATATATTGTAGATCACAAAAAGGTATTGTTGGTAATTTTAATATAAAACGTATATTTATATATTATTAGCGTTGCTTTGATTGTCAATTTGCTATAGTTATTTTCCAAGAGTAGCTTAGATGGGGCGCTCAGTGAGAATTGAACACACTACTCAGTAGTAATTGTTCTAGAGAGACAAGCTTGTTAACCATTACACCACCTCGAGGTGCCCAAATGGCGATTTTCTAAGCGTAGTTTAGATGTGGTACAAGGCCGAAAGTATGGGGCACCCAGTGACGATTGAACTCACTACTCAGTTGTAATGGTTCTAGCGAGACAAGCTTGTTAACCATTACACCACCTCGAGGTGCCCAAATGGCGATTTAAAAAACGTAGCTTAGATGTGGCACAAGGCCAAAAGTAGTGGCCACCCAGTGAGGATAGAACACACGATTCAGTCATAGTTGATGTAGCGAGTCAAGCTTGCTAACCATTACACCACGCCGAAGTGACCGCAGAATGATTTTCTAAGCGTAGCTTAAATGTTGCACAAGGCCGAAAGTAGGGGACACCCAGTGAGGATCGAACTCGCTACTCAGTCGTAATTGTTCTAGCGAGGCAAGTTTGCTAACCATTCTACTGTCTCGATGTGTCCAAATTGTCAATTTGCTATAAAAATGTATTGTTGCTCATTTTATTATAAAAAATATGCTGTTGATTTTTGTTTAGAGTTTCATTATTTGCCTATAGTTGGGACCCTAACAGGTGCTACCACATCGGGTCAAGGTGAACCTGGGAACAACAGCAATTAAGATATGGTTACCAAGCTTCTCAAAACCTCCTGATCAGAGGCCTCGCTGTCGGGTGTCATTTATCGTCGTACCTAGGACGCATCATGGCTCATAGTGAAACGTTAGCATTTATTATATAGCTCTCGCTGTCCACGTTCACGTCGAAATAAAATTCTTTTCACTATTAAAGATCAAAGCAAGCAATTTATCATTAAACTGGTTAAGATATATGCTGCATACATTTTTTTTCTACAGAAACGTACCTCTCCAAGAAATAATCATTTTCTCAAATTTTTCGTGTTACTATCGAATTATTGCGTACATTAGTTACAATAATAATGCTCTGATTCTCTACATGGTATAACTCTCTTAGCATTTTGATCATATTTGATTGAAGATGTTAACATGGATATATTTGCCATTTAAGATGGCCTACCGTAAATATTAGGTTCAGTATAACAGATTTGCTTGTCTGTTGACTTACCATAACCAGCTGCCCGTCCTGGGTATGACGATAAACAACATCCGCGTCCTGGGTAAGGCGATAAACTACATCCAGCAGCAAGACCTATGATCAGAAGATTTTGAGGAGCGTGGAACTATCTCTTAATTGCTGGTGTTCCCAGGCCCACCTTGATCAGGAGTGGTAGCACCTGCTAGGGTCCCAGCTATGGGCAAATAGTTAACACCCAAACTTGGGTCAAAATACTATGAAGGTGTAAAGATAGGTTTTAATATCAAAAATACTTTGTAAAAAAAAAAAAAATTATTACCAGCAATACATTAAAAAAAAAATACCAGCGAAGGAAAATTCCCACCAGAAATAGATTTTTTGAAAGAAAAAATATTACCAGAAATAGATTTTTGAAGGAAAAATATTACCAGAAATAGATTTTTGAAGAAAAAAATATTACCAGAAATAGATTTTTGAAGGAAAAAAATTAACAAAAATAGATTTTTGAAGGAAAAAATATTAACAGAAATAGATTTTTTGAAAGAAAAAATATTACCAGAAATAGATTTTTGAAGGAAAAAATATTACCAGAAATAGATTTTTGAAGAAAAAATATTAACAGAAATAGATTTTTTGAAAGAAAAAATATTACCAGAAATAGATTTTTGAAGGAAAAAATATTACCAGAAATAGATTTTTGAAGGAAAAAATATTAACAGAAATAGATCCTTGGAAAAAAAAAATATTACCAACAATGAAAATTTTGTCGGCATTAAATAACCCATTGAGGTGTTGATATGAATAAGTATTAAACGTTATTTCTTAAATAATTCTTTTCACTATTCTTCGATTATGTTATTTAAACAATTTGTTTTTAACATTCATACTTAAAGTATTTTAATTTAAAAATTTTTTTCCTTTATTTGAATAAACGAATATTAACCCTTCTTCATATAATTGTATTCAACATTCTTTGTTTAATTCAAAATTTATGGTTTTATTTCATGACATTTAAAGGTATACCCTTTAAAAATCTTGCTAACTGGACTGTGATATCATTTTCTCCTCGATATGCCGTTGCTTAACAAGTTTGAGAAACACTACCCTATGGATTGGCGTATTGTGAATCACTGCTCGGAAACGGGAATAGTCGGGGTCCATGACGATGATGTATCGATAGGGTTGTTTTTATTTAGAGTTGGAAGATGAGGCAGCCAAAGCGACTTGGGACACACATCAAGATACTTGGCAATGATCCCAATCGGAGACTATTTGAGCGGACTGTTACCTGTCCTAGAGGTATCTTTAATGGGGGCCTCACCTGCAAGGTTATCCGCAGCTTTTCTTGAAACCTGTCGTCATATTGCACACATTTTGTCTGTGATGCATGTGACTGGTAAACCTTTATCAGACTGGGTACCATGATAGGGCTCAGTATACTTTTATTCAAGCGTTCTTTCGTTAGAGAGTCGCTCTTTTATTCAGTAAGAATTGACGACTAATTCCTTATTTATTATCCACGCTGCTTACTAACAATCGCTGAATGGTAATTTCTGATTTAGGATAGAAAGTGACTAAAGAAAGAGACACGGGCTGAAAATTGATAATACTAGTTTCGTACCCTTCGTTTCGTGGCCGAGTTGTTAGAACGCTCGCATTCTAACCATGAGACCCGAGTTCGAATCTTACCATGCTCGATTTGTCAGGAAGCAGACTTCATGATTGTATATCAGACTGGAGGGGTCGATCCTAGTGTTCGGCTTCTTTGGAAAGTGCCTGAAAACCATACCACGGTTTGACCCAAGCCTTGTCAGCGAAACTGGTTAAGAGGAATCCTTGTGGGTCGTCGATAGCTGTGCTAGCACGAAGTCGCAAGTCAACGTGGCTGAGGTTTTGAACGTGCTGGCCTTATTCAAATTGCTGATCACGCTAGATAACACGCTCTTTTCCAGAAACTGTAACTAAGGTCTGCTCAGCATAGTTGCAGTATAAACCACAGGTGCGCTCTTTGGGTGTCGAATAAACACAAATGTGCTTGAGCAAGCGTCTCCAATAAGGATTGGTTGGCCGCCTTAGTAGATGGGTACCTCGAATACGAGTGGCAAGATATATCTACATATTCTTCGATTGTTGGCTGCAAGATCATCAAAGTTCAAATCTAAATTTTGTGGCTATTTAAAATACTAATTATTAACGAGAAAATATATTCAGTTTAAAAACAGGAGTCATTAAAATAACTTTTAATGGGCACAGATTTCGGCTTATACTCTACTAATACACTTTTCCTGTTGCACAGTGGTTGTTGGCAGATAGAAGGTGGAAATTATTATTATTATTATTATTACGCATCAGTTAAGAAAAGAGTTTGATTTAAGAAAAGAAAAAGCGATGTTTGACGATGTTAAACAATATTTCAACTGAATGTCTCTCTTCAAGTTATTTAAAAAAAAATTAAAGTATAAAAATATATAAATCTACAAAATTATTATTATTATTATTATTATTATTATTAGTAGTAGTAGTAGTAGGCGTATAAATAGTAGGTATTGTTATTGTTATTATTATTAGTAGTAGTAGTAATAGAGGCTCGGATTAATGTATCATTTCATTTCTTTGCTTATCTTTCATCAGTTGTCTTTTTAAATTTCTTTATTGGCCTTTGATTTTTTTCTATATTTTTCATATTACCCTCTCCTTTCGTTCTATCTATCTATCTATCTATCTATCTATCTATCTATCTATCTATCTATCTATCTATCTATCACAGTTCCTTCCTTCCTCCCTTCCTTCCTTCCTTCCTTCCTTCCTTCCTTCCTTCCTATCTATCTATCTATCTATCTATCTATCTATCTATCTATCTATCTATCTATCTATCTATCCTTCCTTCACTTCCTTCCTTCCTTCCTTCCTTCCTTCCTTCCTTCCTTCCTTCCCATCTATCTTCCATCTATCTATCTATCTATCTATCTATCTATCACAGTTCCTTCCTTCCTCCCTTCCTTCCTTCCTTCCTTCCTTCCTTCCTATCTATCTATCTATCTATCTATCTATCTATCTATCTATCTATCTATCTATCTATCACAGTTCCTTCCTTCCTTCCTTCCTTCCTTCCTTCCTTCCTTCCTTCCTATCCTTCCTATCTATCTATCTATCTATCTATCTATCTATCTATCTATCACAGTTCCTTCCTTCCTTCCTTCCTTCCTTCCTATCTATTCTATCTATCTATCTATCTATCTATCTATCTATATCACAGTTCCTTATCTTATCTATCTATCTATCTATCACAGTTCCTTCCTTATCTATCTTCTATCTATCTATCTATCTATCTATCTATCACAGTTCCTTCCTTCTTCCTTCCTTCCTTCCTTTCTTCCTATCTATCTATCTATCTATCTATCTATCTATCTATCTATCTATCTATCATCACAGTTCCTTCCTTCCTTCCTTCCTTCCTTCCTTCATTCCTTCCTCCTTCCTTCCTTCCTATCTATCTATCTATCTATCTATCTATCACAGTTCCTTCCTTCCTCCCTTCCTTCCTTCCTTCCTTCCTTCCTTCCTTCCTATCTATCTATCTATCTATCTATCTATCTATCTATCTATCTATCTATCTATCTATCTATCACAGTTCCTTCCTTCCTTCCTTCCTTTCCTATCTATCTATCTATCCTTCCTATCTATCTATCTATCCTTCCTTCCTTCCTATCTATCTATCTATCTATCTATCTATCTATCTATCTATCTATCACAGTTCCTTCCTTCCTTCCTCCCTTCCTTCCTTTATTCATTCATTCATATCTTCCTTCTTTTCTTCCTTTTGTCTTTAGTTTTTGATTTCGTTGTCTTTTAATTTTTTTGTTTGTTTTTTTTTCTCCTTCTTCCTCTAGTAAAATGTTATTTCTCTGTCCGATCATATATCATCTTACAGATATATATTTACGTCTCTTGACTGATAAATAATGAAACTGACGCTACTCATTCTTTCGACTACTCGCCTGTCAATAACTATGCATAAATGCATAAACAATAGATGTTTTCTACTCATCTAATTGCCATATCTATCTATCTATCTATCTATCTATCTATCTATCTATCTATCTATCTATCTATCTATTCAGTATATTTCTCTCTCTTTCTATGTATCTATTTATCTATTCATGGTATGTTCAGATCTATGTTATCTATCATCTATCTATTTATCAGTCCGTTTTTTATCTATCTATCTATCTATCTATCTATCATCTATCTATCTTTCTATCTATCCTTCCTTCCTGGATCCTTAGTCTTCCTTAACACTTGCATCTGATTTTAACAGATATATCTATCTATCTAAAATATCTTATCTATCTATAAAATTATCAATGAAATTCCTTCCTTCCTCCCTTCCTTCCTTCCTTCCGGGACGGTCCTTTGTTTAAGTTGGTGAATGTTATCTATCTATCCTATCTATCTATCTATCTTTGGTGTTACAAGGTTCCTTCCTTCCTCCCTTCCTTCCCCCTAATCAAAGGGTTTGCAGTTTCCTTAGGTGGCCAGTTGTATCTGATGTGGTCGCAGAAATCTATCTGACAGCCATGATGGGTTATCTATCTATCATATCACAGTTCCTTGCCCTTCCTCCCCCTTCCACCCTCTTCCAGCACTAACATCTATCTATTGATCTATCTATCTATCTGAGTCCCTCAGATTCGACAGTTGTTTTCCTTCCTCCTTCAGAGTGAATTTCCTTCCTTCCTTCCTTCCTTCCTTCCTTCCTTCCTGTCTTCAGGTTGATGATCAAACTATTTGAAATATCTATCTATCTATCCGTTTCCATCTTTCTGGCAGAGTGAATTCCTTGGTCCCCTTTTTCCTTCCTTCCTTCCAAATTCCTTCCTTCCTTCCGTCAATAAAAAAAAACAACAACAACAACAGAAAAAAAACAAAAAAAAACAAACAAATCTATCAACAGGAATTGAAATTAAAAATATCCTTCCAATTTACCCACCTATCAATCTATCTATCTATCTATCTATCTATCTATCTATCACAGTCCCTTCCTTCCTTCCTTCCTTCCTTCCTTCCTTCCTTCATCTATCTATCTATCTATCTATCTATCTATCATCTATCTATCACAGTTCCTTCCTTCCTTCCTTCCTTCCTATCTATCTATCAATCTATCTATCTATCAGTTCCTTCCTTCCTTCCTTCCTTCCTTCCTATCTATCTATCAATCTATCTATCTATCACAGTTCCTTCCTTCCTTCCTTCCTTCCTTCCTTCCTTCCTATCTATCTATCTATCTATCTATCTATCTATCTATCCTTCCTTCCTTCCTTCCTTCTTTCCTTCCCATCTATCTATCTATCTATCAATCTATATATCTATCACAGTTCCTTCCTTCCTTCCTTCCTTCCTTCCTTCCTTCCTTCCTATCTATCTATCAATCTATATATCTATCCTTCAGTTCCTTCCTTCCTTCCTTCCTTCCTTCCTTCCTTCCTTCCTATCTATCTATCTATCTATCTATCTATCTATCTATCTATCTATCTCTTTTTTTTCGTATATGCTGCTTTCAGAATCCTGTCCAACAGTCTTCTTTTCAAGCTTCTGTTTAAAAATTATTATTCTGACTTCTGTACCTATATTTTACAATATTTTTCAATGGCTTTTTTTTTCTCGTTACAAATCTCCAATAGTTGTTGAAAAGTGAGCCAACATTCGAGCGTGTCAGGCAAACACATGTCACAGAAATGTTTCATGATTCAAACCAAACATTCAACTGTTTTCCTGCCTCAGAAACGTGTTGATTTTAACGTAGACGGCGCCACCGGGGAATAGGAGGTTGGGAGAAAAAAAAAAAAAAAAAAAAAAAAAAAAAGAAAGAATTAGTAAGTAAATAACTAATGTGGCAAATTTGGTTCGGGAGTTGGTCTCAAGAATCAATTTTACTCGACAAGATGCTATTGTATGTGAATCGTTGTTGCCCACTCCACAGCCCTAATTACACAATCTGTATATGATATCTTATAGAGCATTTAGAAGTCACACACACACACACACACACACACACACACACACGGACGCATACACAAAGTACGCACACATGGACACGAACTTACAGATATACAGAAATGTATATATATATATATATATATATATATATATATATATATATGTTTTGTGTGTGTGTGTGTTTGGTATTTATTGATATAAATAAGTATACATCCATGGATGATTATCTATCTATCTCAACTGTTTTTTCATATCTATCTATCTATCTATCTATCTATCTATCTATCTATCTATCTATCTATATGTTTCTTTATTATCTATCGATCGATCAATTTATGTCTATCTATCTATCTATCTATCTATCTATCTATCTATCTATCTATCTATCTATCTACACATTCGTGCATATAGATGCATTTAAATATAAATAGCAACATCCCATCGGATGCATGCAAATAATTGATTATCAATATACAACTTTGATTGGATGGAATGTGTGGAATATTGTCGTGGTGTGTGTGTGTGTGTGTGTGTGTGTGTGTGTGTGTGTGTGTGAAAGAGAGAGAGAGAGGAGATGGAGAGAAAGAACGATAGTGAGAGAAAGACAGAATGTGTGTGATTGGACATGAAGATATTCAGTCTATTCTTAGTGAACACATTGCAAAATATCTCTTATATTGAGTTACGGAAGCATTGCCTCGTAGTAAATAACAGTTGTTCAATTCTAACTGAGGAAGTCATCAGTTACTGAGTCTAGCCAATGCTAATTTTCAAAGCAGGCCATCTCTATTATGATGATAGATTAAGCCAAACTTACTAAAATCAACAGTTATTCTTTTCTTTTTTTTGATTTATCTTTGAGGAGACGGCTGTTGATGCAGAAGTGGAATCGGCGGGAAGAATTCAATTTCCGTCCCTGTCAGTTGCATTCACTTCGTACTAATAGGCATAAATCAATTTCTTCTCCAAATATTGCTTCGCCAACGGGCTATAGATTAAATCGTAGGGTAGACTGATCACTCTAGACTTGAGTGTTATCCAGTCTAAGTGAAGGACAATTTTGAATTATTCAAGAAAACCAATAATCTTTCCCAAGAATTCATGGCAGCTACATATAATAAAGAAAAAAGAAACGGTGGAAGCCATGATCGTTACACAGCATTAAAAAAAAAATGATCTTGTGTGAAATGCTAATATAATAGGCGTATTTAAAAGGATGTTCATTAACTAAATTTCATAAACCAAGGCTCGAGAGTCACTCAAGGTTGAGGTTTACAGTCTAAATAGTAAGGAAGAATGAGATATGTTATATGAATGGAAGAGATGGTGGAAGGAAGTGAAGATTATGGGTTTAAGAAAGAAATCGATTAGAGCATAACTCAAGTGGTCAAGTTTGAAGTGTTCTACATCCACAGGGGTCTATTCCATAGAATTTCAGTTTTCTTAAATTTTACATCACGCGCACACAAAGTACACACACATGGACACGAACATGCAGATATATAGAAATTACAGAAATGTGTATATATATATATAGCTATCTGTCTCTCTCAACCGTTTTCATATCTATCTATCTATCTATCTATCTATCTATCTATCTATCTATCTATCTCTCTCTCTCTCTCTCTATCTATCTATCTATCTATCTATCTATCTATCTATTCGTGCTTCCGTAGCTCAATATAAAAGATTATGATTAGTAAAATTTCTATAATAGAGACGGCCTGCTTTGAAAATCAGCATTGGCTAGACTCAGTCACTGACGACTTCCCCAGTTAGAATTGAACACCTGTTATTTACTACGAGGCAATGCTTCCGTAACTCAATATAAAAGATTATGATTCCCCAAAAGTGAAAATGAGGTCGATTTAGCTCGGTGGATGTGGTATCGAGGAGTTTCAACATCCAAAGAATGGAATATCCCCGTGGAACTAACAACAAAATACCGACAGAGCAACGTTGGTCTCTGGGAAGTTGAAGAGTGAAAATACGCCCCCCCCAGCAAGAATTCGAAAACGACGAATCTTAACAAGCTGTGCCATGACGTAAGTTATAGATGTGTATTCAAGTGGAACACAGGATCCAGGACCTGAGGTTGTTAAGGTTTCAAGGTCGTCGAGCGTACATGGATCTTCAATATTGGGGGAAACTAGAAGACGTTCCATAGTTTATGATTGGGTGCATAGGCAGTTAGGATCAACATCCGTGGAATATCCCCAATTCCGAAGGTTGCTTACAGGGCTGAGGACCAGGCATCATTGGAGCCAGGAGGAGGGATTCTGAGAGAGAGAGAGAGAAGAGAAGAGAAAGAGAGAGAGAGTGTGTGTGTGTGTGTTTGTGTGTGTGTGTGTGTGCGTATGTGTGTGTGCGCGTGAGAGAGAGAGTGTATGTGTGTATGCGTGTGCGTATGTGTGTAAGTGTGAGTGCGTGAGAGAGAAAGAGAGAGTGTGTCTATGTGTGCGTGAGAGAAAGAGAGAGTATGTCTATGTGTGTGCGTGTGTGTGCGTGAGAGAGAGAGAGGTATGTGTAAAAGGTATGTGTGTGCGTGAGAGAGAAAGAGAGAGTGTGTGTATGTGTGTGCGTGAGAGAAAGTAAGAGTGTGTGTATGTGTGCGTGTATGTGTGTGTGTGTGCGTGAGAGAGAAAGAGAGAGAGTATGTGTATGTGTGTGTGTATGTGTGTGCGTGAGAGAAAGAGAGAATGTGTGCATGTGTGTGTGTATGTCTGTGCGTGAGAGAGAGGGTGTGTGTGTATGTGTGTGCGTGAGAGAGGGAGAGAGAGAGAGAGAGAAAGAGAGAGAGAGACCCTGTGTTCTCAGTTGTTAAGGTGACTGCATCACAGTGACAGACGCTGACTCGGATCTATGTTGTTCAGTGGTTCGATTGAGTGTAAAAAGCTGTGTCTTGACTTGAGCATCTTTGTCATTGGTCCACAGCCGTGGAATGGATGACGAGGATCAATTTCCTCCTAACTCCGTAAGATGACATCATTGATTAAAACAACATGCGTCGGTAGTAGATAGTCGTGTGGCTTGTTTACACGTCATAATTACGTAAGCTTTTGGCCAGGGAATGAGTAAACAGCAACCAGACAAGAAAGTATGGAAGAAGAAAAATTCCTCTTGAGTTCAGATTCTCTTGTTTTCCATGCCGTCGGTAATTGTGTGATAATTTGAAGTAAGCAAAATTGCATTCACTTCCTCGGCTTCTCTTCTCTCTCTGTCTCTCTCTCTCTCTCTCCCTCCATTCTACATATGAATAAAGCGAAAGTTGTTAACTACAATTATAAAAGTTCTAGTTGTGTTTTCTACATTTTACCAACAGACTAAGAAGATCATTAACCAGAGAAAGTAGATTACAAGATGCTATAAAACATCTTTTATGACTATTGCTTCCGTGACTAACCTTGTTATAATTGATTTTACACCTAATCACAAAGACAGAAGATTCCTGGCTGTTCCACAAAGTTTCCTTCTTTGTTATTATTACTATTTTATTGTATTTCGTGCTGTTACTGTTATAGGCATCACTGATAACAATTAAAAATGATATCGAGCACTTTATTGCAAGGAGTGCTTGCCTTAACTGTCTTCTTTTCTCAATTGCTCACTGACTGGCAGCATTTTTGGCTTAACGCTATCTTTTTAACACTATTGCCTTAGCTCCTGAAAATCATTTTTAGTTGAACGCTTTTGCACGTTTCAGTTTTATTTACATTATTTACATTGTTCGGTCTGTTGTCCTCATCTTTATCGACTCAAGGACACATGGCCCAGTGGATAAAAGCGTTGGGTGGATGCAATGACCTTGAGCCAAAGAGTTGTGAGTTCAATACTTGGCCACTACGGCAGTGGCGAACAAAACGCCGGTAGACGAAATAAAAGGTTCAGTTCGAAATTCCAGTGACCTGAAGAAGCGAACAACGGCCTAAAGGTCGTAAATAATGTTAATAATTATACTCTCAGAAATATAGACATGTTTTTGTTTTAGTTTCATCACTTTACAGAATTCATATCTGCTATTAAATTTTCTAAAAAAAACAAAAAAACAAAAGAAAAAACAATACGAAAGAAAAAACAATACAAAAGAAAAGACTAGCAATATAAATAGTCAATTGCTGACGAGTGGATGGGGTGACTGCTGCAGGGTCCGTCTACGAATCTCTTTATTCAGGTTTGGTTCGGTTTGTTTTGTTTTACGGCATATAGAACCTGGTCTGGCCTGCTATTTACCCATACCCCATAGAGAAGAAGATGATTCATACATTTCCCAAGGGCATCACGTAAGTGAATGTAATGGATGCGACTGGAATTTGAACTCGGCTCTCCAATTCCTTAATCCAAGCCGTTATCCATTACGCTACAGTACCACCGTATCTGGTCTGGTCCTCCTGCAATTCTGTACAGAAGTAGGTGAATCCCTAACATAAAAGTTCAAATAATTGTCTGTTTTTTTCCAGATATCCAACAATTCTTCAACTACATATTCCTTCAGAATAACCTTTAGTAAATGAATTACAACCATTTTCAAAGATTTTTTATCATGCTGAAATAAAAAAAAATATTCATTTGAAATGAAAATGGGCAAAAGTAAGTGTACCTTTACATTTCCACTCTGTATTTTTGCTTTACATGTGTGGATCAGATGTGAGGTAAGTGGATCAAAGGAGGTTACATGGAGTGCTATTGGATAGATGACCACACAAAGGTTAAGCTTCCTTATAAAGGTTGTATATGATATCTTGACAATGCCAGTTAACCTGAAGCCATAAGAACTGGTCAGTTTAATAGATGGAATAGATTTTTGAAGAATTGCTAAGCTTAAACACATCCTTGTTGGTTGCAAGCACTCACTTGCAACTTATACCTGAATATACAGCTAGGTGTTGTTTCTGGCCGTAACTACAAATCTCAGGTGTGAAATTGCCAATAAAGTCTCACCTATTACAAAAATCATGATAATATTCTCAAAAGAAGTTAGTAAAGGAATTGGGTCTAGGAAGAAATGTAAATCAACTTTTTTTTTCCAAATATTCGACAAATCTTAATTAAACTATATATTCATTAAGAAAAACCTTTATTATATGAATTACAATTACCTTCAAAGATTTAAAAAAAAATATTAATAAAAAATTAAGATTTGCAAAAGTGAACTCTTACATTCTGTACTTTGTTTTACATGGTTGCCAGTGCAAATGATTTTTTGTGCACATGTAAAGATCAAAATGACATATGTTCATTTTTTTTGGTAAGCTGTCTATGCTGCAGTCAAACAATATAACTCGTTGTGGATGCAAAAGTGATGCAGTTAGAGACTAAATTAAAAATAATATATATATATATGCAAAGATCAAAAGAACTTCCTGAAGCTTTAAAAAAATCACATAACTGAACGCTGACATGATGGGAAAGGCGACCCAAAAAAAAAGACAACTATCAAGACGATTTGGAGAGCACTTCTTCACCGTGCAACAAATTATTTCAAAATGGCAGGCCTTTGCTATGACGGCATCACATTCAAGACGCGAAGAGTAACTCTAGTTTTTTCTGCTGTGACATTTGCACTTCCTCAATATTCACTGGCCAATGTCGGAATCAATGTGACAAAATCTGAACAATGCTGATCTTCATGACAGAATGCTTAGAAAAAGCCATTGCTTACAACATAACACAAACATGCACGCCTCATTTATACCAAAGCTCATATTAAAGGTTTTATGGTCGGATGAAACCAAAATAGATCTTTTTCGGAGGAACAATAGGGAGTATATCTGGTGAGCTTCTAATACAGCTTTTGAAGAGAGAAATTTTCTGCCAACCATTAAACATGTCTGTGATAGAATTATGATTTGGGGGTACTTTGATGCAGGTTGAACAGACAAAATAGTATACCAAGCAATTTTGAACGAAAGTGTCTTGTCATCAGTTCAAAAGTTGGGTTTAGGTCGGGGATGAAACTTTCAACAGGACAATGATCTGAAGCATCAAATCAAATCCACAAAAAGTTTTGTAAAAAGAAATCTCAAGTCTTGGAATGGCCTAGTCAAAGTCTTGATCTAATCCCAACTGAAAATCTGATTTAAGTGAAAGAAGGTATTACATTAAGAAACACAGGTAAAATCAAGCAATTTTGGGAATTTTGCCAAAAAAAAAAAAAAAATGGTCAAAAATCGGCACTGACTACTTACAAAAACTCCTTAAAAATTATAGAAAAGATTGGTTGATACTGTAAACTCAAAAGGAGCATTCACCAAATATTAAATATAAGGGTTCACTTACTTTTGCAATTCTTAATTTTTAATTAATATTCTTATTCCAGCTTGATAAATGTTTTTGAAAGTGTTTGTAGTTGATTTAGTAAAGAGTTTTTGTTATGGCCCGGTTCCTTGTACCACGGTCATAGTCCAAGGTAGAACCAATAAAGAAGAACTCGAACACGGATATGGAATAACACAGATATATTACAAACTGGAATATATATACAGAGAAGTAGAAAGTGTTAGTACGAACAATCAGGTTTAGTAGTAATTGTCTGAACGCAACTCTCTTTCGGACTGCCTCTGAGTCGACTGACTGACTCGCTCTGACTGACTGACAGACTCCTGACGGACTTCTGACGGACTTCTGACGGACCTCACTCCAGACTTCAGATTGAACAGTATTTAGTCACCCACCTCACGAGGGCATCATGTGGCACAAGGCCGGTTTAACGTGGGACTTCCGAGCCCGTGGGATCGGCCAAAAATATGCCCTTTGAACCCGTATAAACGGGTTCAGGGTCAGTTTACCTCCCCGAAAGAGAATCCGCCCTTCGGCGTAGCCTCGTTCTGGTTCCTCCCCGCCCGAATGAAGAGGGTTCAACCGATCAGCCGATCAGCCGGACGTCCGACTTCGGACTGAACTCTCTGCTTCCTCTTGAGGCGCAGTATTTATTACGTACGGAATAGTCCATTATGTTATTATGGGTAAGGTCCCATAACAGTTTTCTTAATGAATATATAGTTTAATTAAGATTTGTTAATCATCTAGAAAAAAACATACAAATTTTTAAATATTATCTCAGTGGTTCACTTACTTTTGCACAGCACTGAATACCTTTAGATTCTCGACAAAACACTAAGAAATGTCTTTAATATTATTGGTGCTGACCTGGCATATCGACTTTAATCACTTTCCTACGACTGTGACCTAGCTTCCCCCTCTCTTTTCTATAAATATTTTCATAGCAGTTGTTCCAATGAGCTTCTCTTCTTGGTCTCTAGAACATATCAATTTAAGCGTATTACTTAATTATCAATTAAGTTTTATAATTCTACTGTTGACATAGCTCGGTGTAACCGTAAGTTCTATTCTAATAGTTCCTTTCCTCACCTGTGGGACTCTTAATACATTTTAAGAAATTTAAAGTAAGGGAGAAAACAATTTTTAGTGACAGCAATTACCACGAGCGTTATAAACAGATTATCGTTGTTATATCTATAATGTAAACGCTTTGCTCATAATTTTGCGATAGGTGATTATTATAAATTTTACTATAGGAAGTTATTGTAAATTATTTTACTATAGAAATATATACAAATAAAGATTTTAATGGACTGGTTTATTTTTATAACGGCTGCTCAACTTTTTGTAGGTTATTTAAAGCCGAAACGAATTTTGGATAATAAGAATATTTTCTTGCATGTTGTTATATACAGTACCTATGGAAACTAATGGGTATGTCTCAATACTCTTAAATACGTTGGAAGCTATTGTAAGTATGGGGTAATATGCTAAGCAGTTCACCACTAGCAGTCGTTTACCTGCTTCCCGCCGTTGGCGAGTATTGTATTTTGTTGATAGTATAAATATTACCATTTCATTTCTAACCTTCGTTTTGGTTACTCCTCATTCAGAACCCCTCTCTAGGTTACAACACGATCTATCTATCTATCTATCTATCTATCTATCTATCTATCTATCTATCTATCTCATCGTTGACATCTCTCTCTTTCTTTCTTTCTTTCTTTCTTTCTTTCTTTCTTTCTTTCTTTCTTTCTTTCTTTCTCTATCTATCTGTTATATACCGTACCTAAAGACACTAATGGGTGTGTTCCAATCCTCACAAATACGTTGGACACTATTGTTTGCAAGTGGGGGTAATATGCAATCTAAGTAGTCCACCACTTTCAGTGGTTTACCTACATCACGCTGCTGGCGAGTATTGTATTTTGTTGATATTATAAAGATTACCATTTCATTTCTAAACTTCGTTTTGGTTATTCCTCATTCAGAACCCCTCTCTAGGTTACAACACTATCTATCTATCTCTCTCTCTATCTATCTCTATCTATCTATCTATCTATCTATCTATCTATCTATCTATCTATCTATCTATCTATCTATCTATCTATCCCATCGTTGACATCTCTCTCTTTCTTTCTTTCTTTCTTTCTTTCTTTCTTTCTTTCTTTCTTTCTTTCTTTATCTATCTATCTGTTATATACCGTGCCTAAAGACACTAATGGGTGTGTCCCAATCGTCATAAATACGTCGGACACTATTGTAAGTGGGGGTAATATGCAATCTAAGTAATCCACCACTCTCAGTGGTTTACCTACTTCACGCCGCTGGCGAGTATTGTATTTTGTTGATGTTATAAAGATTACCATTTCATTTCCAACTGATTTGGTTATTCCTCATTCAGTAAACTTTTCTAGGTGACAACACATGTAATATTTTATTAACAATGTTTAAAAGATAATAATGATTTTCAGATACAAGCCCTACTATTTTACCCATAGCTAGGAGTTGAAATTAAACAAATAATGGTCAGTGACGAGGAATTAAAGTGAGTGTTTCAAATAACACATGTCTGTTATATGTAAAAGCTAAGTGTATAGCTACCAAGTTTACGATAGGGAAGCATAAGAAATGGTTTTATTATAGAATTACCTTGTAAATAATTTTACAATAGAAATGAATTTGACATCAAGAAGAAGAAGAATTTTCAGTGTCAGGAACAACAGAAAATGTTACAGAGAGAATAGTTAATGTAAATGCCTTCTTGTTTTCTTACAGATAAAAATATTACAAACTATTTAATTCTAGAAATGCATTCAAAATCATTTTACTAGCAAAAGGCTCTGAAAAACTAAACAAAAAACACCCAAATTATCAGTGATCAGAAATTATTGCAAACTTTACTGACAGAATTGTTAACTATATAATTTTATAAAGGGTGTTTCATTAAGAAGGATTACATATAAGGGTGTTTCATTAAGACGGATCAAAGTCAGCAGTAAAGAAATCAGTGTTATTTGTGAAAATGTATTTATTTCTCTATTGGATCATGTTATTTAAGTCATGACAATTATGTGTGAAAAATAATATCGCCCAAATGTCCGCCTCGGCTTCGGCGGCACACCGCCACTCGATGGTCATAATTTTTGATGAGGTCTCTGCATAGTTGCTCGTCGATCTCACCAATATGCCTTATTATCTCATCCTTCAGCTGTTGAATTGTTGTTGGCTTGTTTTGCATAGACCTTACTTTTGAGATGACTCCAAAAAAAAAAAAGAAATCTAAAGGCGTCAAATCGCACGATCGTGGTGGCCAATTGACTTTGCTGTTTTGGGATATGATGCGACCTGGGAACTTCTCATTCAAATTCTGTTTGAACGTCCATTTTCGTAATAGGCTTTGATAACTTTAAATTTAATCTTTCCATGATTGAAATTGCCAAAGACTTAAGTTGTTAAATCTGAAAGAAAAAGAAAAAAATCATTAGACGGTTAAACTTAATTCATATTTAAAATCGGTCAAAGTTATTGGACCCCCCCTTTATTACTGATATAATAGTTAATATTATCATTACTATAAATCTAATGCAAATTCATCGTTAAAATTTTCTTCTGGATAAACACTGTAAATAGTTTTACTAAATAAATGCATTGCATATACATGATATAGAAATGTTTATCAGAGGTCAATAATAATTGAACATGTTACTGACAGAATCAGGTTATTAACTCTATAATGGTATACCATTGCAGATTATATTACTATCATTTCATTATGTTTATCTGAATAACTTTTCTTTTTCAATAATTTCTAGCTCATTATATAAATCGTTATAATGAATCTTTCTGTTTTGAGGTGTATATATTTCATCCCGTAACACAGCAAAAACAGACGATCCTAGCGTAATTTCACTTAGGCAATAACGTTAAAATTGAAAGTGAAGAATTTCAAATTGAAGAATTTCTAGTTCAATTTGGAACTTAATAATAGACTCTGCTTTCGTGCACGCCCGATAATAGCAATCCGATTTTTGCATGTTTGTAATAAAATCTGAAAAAAATCATGTCGACTTGGAATAATGAAATATATATATATATATATATATATATATATATATATATATATATATATTTTTACGAAATAAACGTATCTTTATTTCGGGATGTCTTAGTTTATCCATCAAAATGTTAACCCCGGAAAATATAGCCAAAATATTTTGAAAGATGCAGAAGAAGAATTTTGTAAAGGATAAAGATAATGAAATATAAAACGTAGTACATTTCACAGTACAAAGAAAGAAAGAAAGAAAAAAAGAAAGAAAGAAAAAAGAAAGAAAGAAAAAAGAAAGAAAGAAAAACGAAAGATTGAAAGAAAGAAAGAAAGAAAAAAGAAAGAAAGAAAGAAAAAAGAAAGAAAAAAAGAAAGAAAGAAAAAAGAAAGAAAGATTGAAAGAAAAAAGAAAGAAAGAAAGAAAGATTGAAAGAAAGAAAGAAAGAAAGAAAGAAAGAAAGAAAGAAAGAAAGAAAGAAAAAGGTGGTAGCAGAGACAAATGTTGTGGGTCAAAAAATTATAATTTCGCCTTAAGTTATCAAATTATTTAAAATCTCCAGTGCCTCTAGATTGACAGATTTTTTTCCCGTAGGATTTTACCACAAATTATTTCGCCGATGGAGCGTCAATATCCGGTGTTTTTCGGCCGGGGTTAGTGTTTTCGTCTTCTCCCACTTTTTAGTCGATAGAGAAATCTTAGAGTAAAAGAGAGTGAAAGATAATATAAAAGAGATAAGGATGTTAAAGGAAAATTGCTTTGTTTTAATTACAATTCTTTTATTTCATTTCTTTGTACATTTTTTTTTTATATTTTATTTTATTGGACTCATCACAATTCCAAATTAAAATAAAAAACGCACCCAGGAGATTAAAGGAAATTATCATCACCGTACGCATTTAATGAAGAATTCTTTCATCGGGGTTTTATGAAAGTTATATTCTTCCTTGATTTGGTAGTTTTTTTTTTTTGCTTGTATTTCGTTCTTGATTGTATTTTGTTAAAATAAAATTCAATTGGTAAAAATTCAACTACAATTGGTAAAAATTTGTGGGGATCCCGCCCGGCACTCTGGCTGCTAATGCCGTGAAAGAGAGAAGTGAGGCAGAGACATAGAGGAGGAGGAGGAGGAGAAGAAGAAGAAGTAGAAAATGTAGTAGTAGTAGTAGTAGTAGTAGAAGAAGAAGAAGAAGAAGAAGAAGAAGAAGAAGAAACAAATGAATTTATTTACATTTCTTACACACTAAATATTGGCTGTTGTTTCTCAAGGTCTTCACGGCAAAATCTTTTCTTTATTGGAATTCAGAAACATTTTTTTTCAAAATTTAGGTTTCTTCCGTAATTGTATTCATTGAAATCACAATGTTGTCTGATGGGAATTTGGTCAGGTCGGTCGTGTACGGTAAGGAAGTCCATGGGAAACACTTAAGATAAATAAATTGAAGGAGGAGAAGAGAGGGAAAGGTAAAGGAGACATACATATTCTGTCATGAGAGAAAAATGACATAGAAAAAGGAAGAGAATTGGCGATCGCAAAGAATAATGACAAGTGGGGAGAAGGCGAAGAAGAGAAAGAACAGAAAGTTTGTGTACGAGGAGATCCGGGAGAATTAAATATATGAGGTAACGAGTAAATAAATAAATAAATAAATAAAGAAAGAAAGAAAGAAAGAAAGAAAGAAAGAAAAAGAAATAATGGAGATCTATTAAAAACGAAAGAAGAAAAGAATAGAAAGAATGAAAGAAAGAACGTGTGAAGAGATATGAAAAGAAATAAAGAGTGGGAAATTATAAATTAATAAATAAACAAAGTGTGGGGAAACAGAAAGAAAGAAAGAAAGAAAGAAAGAAAGAAAGAAAGAAAGAAAAAAGAAAGAAAGAGTCCAGAGATAAAAGAAAGACAGAAAGAGCGGCAAGATGCTAAAAAAGAAAGAAAGAAATAATAGAGATATTAAGAAAGGAAAAATGAAAGAAAGAATAAAGAGACGTTAAACAAGAAAGAAAGAAAAAAAGAAAGAGTGAGTGTAGAGATATTGAAAAAGAAGAAAGAAAGAATGAAGAGATATTAAAATGAAAAAAGAAAAGAAAGAAAGAGTGGATATATATATATATATATATATATATATATATATATATATATATATATATTAATAGATACAAAAGAAAGAAACAAATAATGTAAAGAAAGAAAGAAAGAAAGAAAGAAAGAAAGAAAGAAAAGAGTCCAGAGATAAAAGAAAAAGTGGTGAGATATTAAAAAAGAAAGAAAGAAAGAAAAGTGTGGAGATATTAAGAAAGAAAGAAAAAAGATATGCTAAAAAAAGAAAGAGAGGCAGATTGAGTGTAGAAATATTTAAAAAAAAAAGAGTAAAGAATGAAGAGATATTAAGAAAGAAAAAGAAAGTAAAAAAGAAAGAAAGAAGGAAAAGAAAAAGAAAGAAAGAAAGGAAAAAAGAAAGAAGGAAAGGAAAAAAGAAAGAAGGAAAGGAAAAAAGAAAGAAGGAAAGGAAAAAAGAAACAAAGAAAGAATGGTGTTTCTGGAAGAGAATCAAGAAAAGTAAGAAGTTTATGTCACCTTCCTTTCTCGTCGACCTTCCGCATCTCATCTTCCCACTCGCGCCTCCGTCTCCGTCCGACTTCCGTTGGCGGTGTCGTGTGAATGTAGGCCGACACCCCGGCCTGGTCACCCTTCGAACAACCAGATATCTTATACTGCCCCTGTCCGGGCTTCCTGGACCCATTTTACTTGGCTTCTCATACAACATTTCTAATTGAATTGCTACCTGATCCGGTCCTACACTCGGAATATTCACTTTATGCGACTCGTTTACCAACACGCTCGAAAACAAACATGAAGGAAAGTCACATCACGAAGACCTATTTTCCCTTATTTTCATGTGATTAAGCATCTATACAAAAATAAAATACCGGGTGTAACAACAAAATTGTCCAAATCGTGTAACAGCAAAATTGTTCAATTGTTAGCTTTGGACCGTTGTATCTTAGAAATGATTAAAGATATCTTACTGGAATTTTCCGAGGTTTTTATAACACGATTGGACTCTAATTTGAACAATAAGAATGTATTTAGCTCTAAGTTGAAATGATGATTTCTCTTGCTGTTGTGACCTCCTGATCCAGTTTTCCTCTTTATTGTTCTTTCTTTTTCAAGATTATTCACCGTTCTCTTGATGGTTTTTGAATGGACTTTAAAGATGAGAGACAGAATATGAATTTTGGCACCATTACTGAAGGCCTGAATGATCTTTTGCCTTTCACCATTGCTCAGTTGGGAAGACGCAATGGGACTGACGCAGAAATGATTTTAACCTGTACTATTTTTAGCTGAATAACTCAAAGGGTTTTTCAGAGGTTCTTACGACAAATATTGTCAAGATGGCTAAATGTCTTAATTGAAAATCTGTAAAAATTAATTTAGTAGTATTTAGATATTAAATATTTTCTGGGATGAACAATTATCACATGCTGTTACACGATTTGAAAGATTATACTATTAAACCCAGTATATATATGCACACACACACACACACACACACACACACACATATATATATATATATATATATATATATATATATATATATATATATATATATATATATTATTGTCATCCACAGTTTATCGTCTTATACAGGACGGGATGTAGTTTATCGTCATACCCAGGACGATCATTATTCAGGATGCTGAAAGTAATACCAATCAGCTAAGTGATAAACTTCATATTTTCATTAATTATATATATATATATATATATATATATATATATACTACATCCGCGTCCTGTATAAGATGATAAACTGTGGATGATATATATATATATATATATATATATATATATATATATATATATAAAATATAATGTCTCATTTTTTAAGAATGGGAAATAAGGAAAGACTTTAAATATTATTTACAATAATGTCATTGGTTTCTTGGTTTTTCTCTTTACACCTAATAATATTAAAGCTGCTTATTCCTTTTTCGAACCTCGTGAACTGGTACTGTATAACCACACACAAACTACCGTACCAAATAACAGAAACTACATGATTTGAAGACTTTCAACTGCAGCAACAATTAAAATGGAATGCATATGGATGTATTCCAAAGTAAAGATAATGATATATTCAAGATGTTCCACACTACTTCGAAAAAGGAAGGTTTGCTTTGGTTCCGTTTGGTTTGGTTTGGTTTGCTGCGGTTTGTTTAACGGCATATCAACCTTAATGGGCTATTTAAAATGCCGGCAAAATTTTCATTGTTGGTAATATTTTTCCTTCAGAAATCTATTTCTGGTAATATCATTTCCTTCGAAAATTTATTTCTGGTAATATTTTTTCCTTCAGAAATCTATTTGTGGTAATATTTTTGCCTTCGAAAATTTATTTCTGGTAATATTTTTTCCTTCAGAAATCTATTTGTGGTAATATTTTTGCCTTCGAAAATTTATTTCTGGTAATATTTTTTCCTTCAGAAATCTATTTGTGGTAATATTTTTGCCTTCGAAAATTTATTTCTGGTAATATTTTTTCCTTCAGAAATCTATTTCTGGTAATATTTTTTCCTTCGAAAATTTATTTCTGGTAATATTTTTTCCTTCAGAAATCTATTTCTGGTAATATTTTTTCCTTCAGAAATCTATTTCTGGTAATATTTTTTCTTTCGAAAATTTATTTCTGGTAATATTTTTTCCTTCAGAAATCTATTTCTGGTAATATTTTTTCCTTCAGAAATCTATTTCTGGTAATATTATTTCCTTCGAAAATTTATTTCTGGTAATATTTTTTCCATCGAAAATTTATTTCTGGTAATATTTTTTCCTTCAAAAATCTATTTCTGGTAATATTTTTGTTATAGCGGAACACTCCTATTCTATAGTTAATAGACTCTCCCACCTATAATACATAGGAGTAGTAAGAGTAACAAGTCAGTCGGCAGTGAGTTGGTCAGTCAGTCGATGTCGGACGACCGTTAGTCGGATATTAAAGTATCAGCCACCACAACTAGATTACTGAGTCATTAACTATTATATCTAGTTCCTAACGTTTTGTATGTCGAACCTATTTTAGGACCGACTTAGTACAAATACAAGCCTCCACTGTGAAACCACTACATAACATTTTTTTCCTTCGAAAATTTATTTCTGGTAATATTTTTTCCTTCAAAAATCTATTTTTGGTAAGAATTTTCCTTCGCTGGTAATATTTTTTTCAAAAAATATATTGCTGGTAATACTTGTTTTTCAAAAATGTATTGCTGGTAATAATTCTTTTTTTACAAAGTATTTCTGATATTAAAATCTATTTTTACACTTTTATAGTGTTTTGACCCGAGTTTGGCCGTTAACTATTTGCCCATAGCTGTGACCCCTAACAGGTGCTACCACCCCGGGTCAGGGCGGACCTGTGAACATCAGCAATTAAGAGGTGGTTTCACGCTCCTCAAAACATCCTGATCAGATGCCTTGCTGTTGGACGTAGTTTATCGTCTTACCCAGGACGCGGATGTAGTTTATCATCTTACCCAGGACGCGGATGTTGTTTATCGTCATACTCAGGACGCAGATGTAGTCTATCGTCATACCCAGGACGCGGATGTAGTTTATCGTCATACGCAGGACGCGGATGTAGTTTATCGTCATACTCAGGACGCGGATGTAGTTTATCGTCATACGCAGGACGCGGATGTAGTTTATCGTCTTACCCAGGACGCGGATGTAGTTTATTGTCTTACCCAGGACGGTCGAACAAGGAAGGAAATCACCTGGACTAAGAGTATTAGCAAAATTAATGCAGCAACATGGGAAAAAAATATAGAAAGCTGTTTTTTTTTTCAGGGATGCTACTCTATGGCTTAGTGTTTCTAAATCCATAAAGTCCCCAAAAGTCCCTAGTAGGCTAAATGTTTGGGAGCTCAAATCCAAGATGTCTGCCTCTGCCAAGGCAACACATATAACTTTTTAATCATTCATCTCACAAATCTGTGTAATACCTTTTTTTCCAACTAATAGAATCATGATAAATCCAATTATTACCTTATATTTAAGATTTAAAGACAACATGAGAAATTAAACTGTATTTGTAGGCTATGTTCGCCATACAAGATGACCCGCCTCAAAATCGTATTTTAAAATGTGTTGAATTTATTAGATAGATTCAATAAGCATATATTTTCTTTTCACTCAAATTTCAATGAAAAAATGGTTTACAGTGTGTGACAATAGTTTTTGATTTCTCTCTTGACGAATATGCATTTTATTGTTGTCGCGCAATCATAGCACATACTATATAAGGTAAGAGTACTTTTAATATACTACATTTTTATTATTTTATTAAAACAATGTGAATTAAGTTGTTTCAATAGAAAATATTTGTGTCACTAGTTACCAAGACAAGGATTAGCCTACCGTAAAAAAATCTCCCATACTAACAGCTTACCATAAACCACAGGATTTAAGATTCATATTTTATACCTGGAATATAAGACGGCCACCTTATTTTGGGAGGAATTTTTAAGGTTAAAAGGTCACCTTGTACGCCGACATATACGGTAAATCAGTTTTATTTGTGCCTACGCTTGCGTGTCGGTATTTATTTATCTTTCATCTGACAAAATCAAAATGTGACACAAGGTCAATATTTAATGCGGGATTTGAGTACAGCGGGATAATGATTATACCTACCCGATACGGCACAGACTTCAATGTTGTATTTTATGATAAGTCACCCGAAAAAAAAAAACAAAAAAAAATTACCTATTATGATACGATTACACTGTCCCCGACATAATGTATATCTCTTGCCTTTCTTCGACTGATAAGAAAGTGCTATTTGGAAAATGGATCTATTGTCATCAGTATTCAAATATATTTTTACCTTACCGTTTTTTAATCATTCCACGATAAACAAAGCTTTAAAGCTAATAAGACACAAGGTGTTACTAAGCGTGAAAGAATAAGAATAAAAATGAAAAGCATTATTAAGGAGTGAGAACAATAGAAGAGAAATCAGGATGACAGTAGATAACGATTAAATTAAAGTACTTAGTTCTGTTTTAATTTCAAGCGAATTTTGGAAATTCCAAATTTCCGAAAAATCGCTTGAAAATGAAACAGAACTAAGTACATTAATTTAATTCTATAATTGAATTGGAAGTTTTTAGCTTCTGTTTTTGAAACATGGTAATTCATGTGTAGCGATAGAATCATATTTTTCAAAAAAAATATAATTATAATCTAGGCTGTATCAAGCACTGTTTTTTTTTAAAATAAAAAAACCCAAAAATACTAAAGAACATCGTATCATCAATCTAACAGTTCTTTCCTATTTTATCAATATATTTATATATATATATATATATATATATATATATATATATATATATATATATATATATATATACACACATACACGTACGCACGCACACACACGTACACGTACACATACACGCTCATAAATCTAACGGTTCTTTCCTATTTTATCTAATATATCTATATCTATATATATATATATATATATATATATATATATATATATATATATATATATGTACACATACACACACACACACACACACACTCATACAGTGCCATGCAAAGTGGGAAAACCTCTCAGAAAATATTTGAAAATTGTCTATTTTTACCAGATAATCAAAAAATCTTAATTAAACTATATATTCATTAAGAAAAGTCTTTATTAAACGAATTGCAATTAATTTTTTTCAA